TGATGAGTGGTGGGAATAGAAAGGTGAAGATATGTCTCCTGAGTTCAGGCTGGCCTTTCCCATTTCCCTACAGCTTCCTCAGTCCTCTGGCTATGCCAGGGCCCCCTCTACGCTCCTCTCCATCAATACCTATATTCCAGAAGGTCTTCCATATCAGAAATGTGTAGTGCACCTTCCTTTGGATGTCACCCATGGTTGCAATTAAAGCTTCTTTAATTATAGGATCTTTTGTTAAAGGTACTGGGGACATAGGGGAGCAGAAGAGAAAGAGCTTTGGAACAAAGAGAGCCTTTCCAATGCCCCTAAAAATCATCAGCCACCTGTTCTATGGATACTGGGGTCAGCACTTCAGTGCAACTCCAGAGAAGAATGTCAGTTTGATCTGTGAAAGGGAGACCAGGAGGGGAATGGGAGACCCCTCAGCTGGAGGGCGTTATCACAGGGTCTCCATGTTAAACTCAGGGGACACCGTCTGCCCCACACTGTGAAACATGCGCTCCCCAGGGATTTGGCAGGACATTCTGTCCAAGTTAGGAATCAAGTGTCTCAGCTTTCACTTCTCTGAGTGATGGTTTCCCCACGAGTCTCATCACAGGGGACTTGACTAAGATTCTTTCTTTCCAACCTGCTTTTTCCAGACACCAGGCGGATATGATCAGTTTGTCTGGGTGCCTCTGGGCGGCATTCTTCCAGACTGTTTGATTCTGCAGCCACTTTCAACCAGTTCTTCCCAGAGGGGCCAAGATAGGGTGGATCTCATGACTTGCCCCTCCTTAGATTCAGCTGATTCTGCTGTCTTGGGTAGAGGCTCCCAGACGGCCAGCAGCTCCATCATCTGCGCCACTGCCTCACCAGAAGGTCACACAGGCTCTGCCTGTTGGGCACCAGGGTCCCAAGAAATTACAAAGCAGTCAGTAGGTCAGTTGATGACTTAGCCTTGAGGGCTCCTTACTCGTTTTCCCTACTGTGATCCCAAACCGATTGATAAATGGGCATAGGAGTCAGACAGAGATAAAAATACCTGCTTTATTCCAGATAAAGCTGCATTGAGAAAAGCTGTTTGGTGCTAAGGTCAAATTGGACTTCCTTTTGCTTTCCTGATTAATTACCTCCCCTCCCTGGCACCCTTCCCTGGGGCCCAGCATGGCAGTTCTGGGGCCCCATACCTCACCTCTGTGGGTGGAGGTGACCCTTGCAGGTAGGTTAGAAGAGGAGAGTGCATGTGAGTGGCTACAGGCAGGGCTCCCCGGGCAGCAGGGTTGGCATCACTCCCAGCAGCTGGGGTAATGAGACCTTCCTGAGGGGGCATGTGCTGCCCATCCCCTCATTAGCTATTTGCTGAGAGCCCAGTCTCAGAGCGCATACTACACAGTCTGCCTTGAACAGGGGCTTGACCACATTCCTCTCACCCAGACAGGGGTAGTGTGTCAGGAGCTCCCCTGGGTCAGGAGTCCTCCCCAAACCCCTTGCCTGGGGGAGTCGGAGGGTAGGTGGAGGGAGGATAAGGCAGGGTTACTGAACTAACATGCTCCCTTCTAGGGAGGGATGGAAGTGCTATTCCTCCTCCGAACCTTGGAAACCCAGCACAGAGGACGAGCATGGTTCCCCCATCATGACCGTATAAGACAACCCATTGGTTAAAAGGCTGCCTGAATGCATGTGAATTCTTAATCTTTGAGGGATTATGGTGGGAACTCCCCCAATAATACATAGCTGTTAGAAGGTAAGGATTTGCAGCTCTCCTGAGCTGATGCTTAGAAAGAACCAGCACTTTGGGTATGAAAGGCTGCTTGCTGCTTTCTTCCCAGTTGAGAGTCCAGCTGGATCCCCAGGTGAGGCAAATGCAGTTGAAAGTGATAGATGTATTGAATCTTGTTTAAAAGGCCACAGCCTTCTTACGGCTAAATTGATCGGAAACCATTATAAAAATGCTTTATGATCAAGAAACTTGCACTTTATTTCTGAAAGTCTTTGATCAACATGAATGATCTGTGGTTGGAAAATTTGCTACTCTTTCCTTGGTGAAGCAGAATGTTTCCTTGAAGCATTTTATCCTCTTCTATATCTACCCTGCAGTGGCCTTCTCCACACAGCATTTCTAAGTTGGCTGCTGTAGATTTATGTCTGCCGTGTGCAGCCATGCTGTGAAGGAGGTGCGCTGCGCTGATAAAGTTGGTGAACCCCTTGCTTGTCCACGACAAAGCCCTTCTATCCACCTGGCCCTGTCCCACACTGTGTTTCCTTACGGTGTGTGGACTCAGACCCCGGGCTTGACAATGTATCAAATGCACTTTGAGATAGCAGAAGGTTAACAGCTGCAACAGCATAGTCATGACAAAACCTTGGAAAAATTTCTGAAGCTCTGCAAGAATCCATGGAACAGATAAAGTTGTAACAGGTATTGCTAATCCTATGCAAAGTTGCTGCACTTGCCCATAAAACCTTAGCCTTGGCGGTAAATAATGAACATCCATGAATTCCTTGCTTAGAGCCCTATTAGCTTAAAATCCCAGTTTGTTGGCTTTTTCAGTGCATGTCTCTATAAGTTGGTTAGGGAGACCTTGTTATCTTGTATCTCAAGGCAAAGTCATTGTTATTGACCACATCAAGGGCCTGCAATTTCTGAATAGAAAAAATGAAGAAAAAGTTATCCAAAGACACCTGCCTTTGTTAGAACAGTAGCAGCCCATCTGAGCTGTAGGCATTTAGCGACAAGGACAAGGAACTCTTGTGGACCATTTGGATGGTTGAAGATTCACACAGAGAAACAAAGGGCTGACAGCAAAGGAGGGCCATGCTGGAATTAGGTGCAGGAATTAGAGCAGTGACTAAAATAGACAGTTTTCTTATAGAGCTAACAACATAGATACAAATGGCTCACTCAGTGTCAGGCACTGTTCTAAGCATGTCACATATCTTAACCCGTGACTCTCACACCTCCCTTAAGAGAAGACACTTATCATCCCTATTTGTGAAACTAACGCACCAGGAAATCAAGCAACTTGCCCAAGGTTACACAACAAGTAAATGGCAACTTATTTTTTCAACCCAGTGTGTGTCAGTGCATCTCAAACTTTACAGTTTGTGTGATTGATCCAGGATATCTGGTTTATTTATTTTATTTTATTATTATTTTTAAAGATTTTATTTATTCATCAGAGACACACAGAGAGAGGCAGAGACACAGGCAGAGGGAGAAGCAGGCTTCCTGCAGGGAACCCAATGGTGGGACTTGATCCCAGAAGCCCAGGATCACGCCCTGAGCCAAAGGCAGACGCTCAACCACTGAGCCACCCAGGCGTCCCAGGTATCTGGTTTAAATGCAGAGTCTGATCCAGTAGATCTAGCTTGGGGACCCTGTGGTTCTGCATTTCTGACAAGCCTCCAGGTGACAGTGCACTGCTGGTCTCTGGACCACATTTGGAATGGTAATGCTTTGGATTATGATGAGCATCCTCTACACCCAGGGTGGGGCTCGAACTCACAACCCTCAGATCAAAAGTTGCCAGCTCTACCACCTGAGCCTGCCAGGCACCCTGGAAAATAAAATTTTACCTACCATCTCCATGGTTTTCCATATACAATGTCTGACATTCAGTTTAAAAAAATGTAGTAAGACATAGCACGGAACAGGATCAAAAGCAAAGACAGATAACAGAAACAAATCTATGGGCGATGCAGATATGAAAGTTATCAGGCACGAGCATTAAAATAATATGATTAATATGTTTGCAAAATTAGGTGACAAACTAGAGAAATTCATCTGGGAGCTGGGATATATAAACATGAATAAATTAATTAAAAATAAAAAAGAATTAATAGATGGGTTTATCAGATGGAAAGACTGGTGATCTGCAAGATGGGTCAATAGGAAATACCCATTACAAGGCCTAGAGAAGTAAAAAGATGGAAAATTTAGACCAAAATTCATGACAATATAATACAAAAATTTTGCGGGGAGTGGGGGTGGGGGGACAGTAAATAGAGTTAAAGTTTCAGACAATCTCTCCCATATGCCTTGTCCCGCATACTGATTCAATCCCCATTCCAACTTCCTTTGTCTTTCTGTTAAGGTCAGAGATTCTCTTCGTTAGAACTCCCCAATGTGCTAGTCATAGACCACATGTGGCTGTTTAAATTTAAATAAAATTAAAAATTCAATTCTTCAGGCCCACGTGGACTAGCCACATTTCACATTCTCAAGTAGCCAGACGTGGCCAGTGGCTACTACCTGTACAGAACAGACATAGAACGTTGCCTTCATCCTGGAGAGTTCCATTCGACCGTAATCTCGTTCCTGACATTTTGCTTTTTTTGGTCACCTGAACTTTTATATTTTTACTCATGGTTAAATTACGCTCATGCACGGAACCATGGTTCCAACCTCTTTAGTGTAATATCCAAGGTTTACACTGGAGAGCTCAGTTCTGTTTCCCTGACTCTTGAAAACAGGCACAGTAAATTCACTAATCAACTACAGGTTAAAAGTGGACAAAATAGTCTATCAGATGCTTACTGCTTGTGTGACCATCTGGCATGGATGGATGCTCAGAGTGCAGGCCCTAATCCATCAGATGACGTCAGGCTCCTCTATCTAGGAGTGCCCAGGCTGGTGCACTCTACTTAGAAAGATGTCCACTAAAATGGTAAAATAAATATTTTGATGCTTGGGATTCCCACTGGGGAACTCTTTATTTTGCAAGTATGTGGGGCAAGTGGGACTTCTACTGTACCACATCCCAGCTTTGCCATTTATTGCCTTTTAGACAAAGACAACCTGCTTTCCCCTCATTGGTGCCTCAAATGTTGCATGTCAGGCATCGTACCTCTCCCTAATGTGTGAGTTGTGATAATGAAATGTGGTTTCCAACTGGGAAAATTGCTTTATGAATGTAAATGCTGTATACACCATATGGCATGATTTTGGATTACATGTGGGCTGAGTCCATAAACTACTATACTTCATGCATGCTATATGCTGTTTCTTTTTTGTCTTACAGTGATTTCCCTGAAAGCTTCTGAAGATTCATCCTTTGAGAAAAAGAAAGAGACCTGGGCACTTTTTGAAGGTAGAAACTTTTTGCAAGTTTCTTTCTTCTAAGATGACTTTTGCTTTTAGATAATAGGAAAGGCATAGAAAGGGAAGGAAGTGTGAAGAACTCAGAGGGGTCACCACTTGGGGCACACCACATTGAATACAACCTGAGGAAATAGTGAAGGCTAAGGACTTTCTGTTATTTGTTACAAGTAAGGAGACAGGGAGCTAGCTCTCAAAGTACCGTCTCCCCAGGGGGTTGGTACGGGAAGCTTTTGTTCAGTGTGCTAGGGAGCTTGCAGAGGTACAACCGCATGCCTAGCATGTCAGTGTGCTAGTGCATACACCACATGTTCAAAAGAAGGCAGAAAACTCTGCCCATAGGAAGTGATGTTAGTATAATGAGCTAAAGGTAACTTCAGGGCAGCTCAGAGGGGCTTCTGCACAGATCCTCAGCTCCAGGCTGGCTCAGCCTAGTTCCCATGGGACTGTTAGGAGAGACACATCTAGCAAGGGGCTCTCAGGTGGAACACTTAGCTGGACATCTCCTTGGCTGGAACCGTTGGTTCTGTGAAACAAAACATTCCTTCCATGCCTTTGTCCTTTCCCATCCTCCCTTCTGCTGATAGCTTCCATCCACCTTATTTGAGTAACTCCCTATTGCATTTTAGCTAACCAGAGGACCCTGACTTCTTAGTTGTGTTATGACATCAACTTGTTTTCTTATCCTTTTTTTTTTTTTTTTTTATTTATGATAGTCACAGAGAGAGAGAGAGAGGCAGAGACACAGGCAGAGGGAGAAGCAGGCTCCATGCACTGGGAGCCCGATGTGGGATTCGATCCCGGGTCTCCAGGATCGCGCCCTGGGCCAAAGGCAGGCGCCAAACCGCTGCGCCACCCAGGGATCCCTGTTTTCTTATCCTAAACTTACTCAAGAGTGGGGTGGGAGGGGTGCCTGGGTGGCTCAGTTGGTTGAGTGTCTGACTCTTGATTTTTGCCTCAGGTCATGATCTCGAGCCCTGTGTGGGGCTCTGTGCTTAGCAGGGAGTCTGCTTGTCCTCTCCCTTCCCCTCTTGCCCCTCACTGTTTGTGTGTTCTCTCTCTCCCTCTCTCTCTCAAATAAGTAAATAAAACCTTTTAAAAATACAAAAAAAAAAAAAAACTATAAAAAGAAAAAGATTCTATAAGTAGAATCCCTGGTACTATCAGCCCATGGGTTTTGAAAGAGTAGAGGCAAAAGCTCCAGTCTGTATAATTTGGGGTGTTTTTGTTTTGCTCTAGAATTCCTACTCCTAAGTGATTTTAAGGAGGAATCTTTAAGTCCTATAAAGAGGAAATATGTGCCTACTGTGACAGACTTTATCTCAGGTTTCTTATGGAGTTTAGGATTCCAGAAGTAGTTTGTGAAACTTAAGCAAGTGATTCTCAACCCATGTTAGAATCCCCTGGGAATCTTTAAAAATACTGATTGCTGGGCCACATCTTTGAACATTCTGATTGAGCTGAAATTTGTTAAAAGCCCTCCAAGTGGGCACCTGGGTGGCTCAGTGATTGAGCGTCTGCCTTTGGCTCAGGTTGTGACCTCGGGGTCCTGGGATCGAGTCCCACATCGGGCTCCCTGCATGGAGCCTGCTTCTCTCTCTTCCTGTGTCTGCCTCTCTCTGTGTGTCTCTCGTGAATAAATAAATAAAATCTTAAAAAGAAAAGGTACAAAAAACCCTCCAGGTGATCCCGCAGCAGCCTTATGACTGGTCCAGATCAGTAGTAGCAGCGGTAGCCCCAGCATTACCTGGGGGCCTGATACAAATGCACACTGTTGGGCCCTCCCCTCACTCATAGGATCAGAAACTTGAGGGGCGGTGCCCCCACAGTCTGGGTTTTCACAAGACCTCTGGAGGTGGGGGGATTCTGGTGCACTCAAATTTGAGCCTCGGAGTAGTGATTCTCAGCAGCAGGTGGTTTTGCCCCTCCAGGATAGTTGCCAATGTCTGGATACCTTTTTGGTTGCCACTAGCATTTTGACTGGCTAGCATTTTGATGCTACTGGCAACTACTGGGTAGAGGCCAGGGGTGCTGCTATATGTCCTAACAATGCACAGGTCAGCTCCCCACAACCAGGAATTAATTGTCAGTCCCAAAATGTCAAGAGTGCTGAGGTTGAGAAATCTTGCCTTACAGAGAGAGAGGAAAGTTCAAAGGAATTATTATCACAAAGTAGGTGAGGATTATGATCATAAACAATGAAAGAATGTTACTTTGTGACTTCTTAGGCAGAGCCTTTGGTCAGTGAAAAACTGATGAATGTCAAAAAGTGATCAGGAAATCGTGAAGGTTTGCATTTAGTGAAGGCATGGCCTCTATGGATAGTGAATCACCTTGCCAAAGGGATCTAGGGACATGTGTGTGCCCTGGGGGCTTCCTGCCACCTTCGGTTAACTAACAGGTATGTGGAAGGAGATCTTGCCCCATGGGGGTGGGTGGCACTTGGATCCAAACCCACCTCTTCCAACAGCCAGTGAAATGCAGGGGATGGAGGCAATTTCTCTCTCAGAAAAATGTTATCATAATTGTGAACATTATTTGCAAACTGGAAAGTGTCACCCAGACCGGCCATTAAGATTCATTGTTTTGCCATCAAATATTTTCTTTCTCAAATTGCACTTTACTTCAGTAGCAATTATTTATATTCCCTGCCTTTTCTTATTCAGGCTTTGTGGCAGTCTTTTTATTTAATGACCCTCTCCTACCAAAATAATCCCCAGCCCCCTCCCTCAGCCTTTCATTCAGCGAATGCCTATTCCTTAGCAACGAGATGAAGGTGACTTGACTCCTCCTGGAGTGAAGCAGTGGAAAAAAACAACTGATTTACCCCATGTTTCTGGGAGCTGCCCCCATGACCCAGCAGGCCCTACAATGGGATGAGGGAGAAGTCTGGAGATACCCAGGGCATTCCTAAGGCAGCTGTGACAGCAGGAGCCTTGTTAATCATCAGATGCAGAAGGATCTCTGGATTCCAGGTTTCCCTCTGAGAATCTGATTATTGCATTTAGGAAGGAGCAAAAAACTTGTATTGGGGCCCCAGGTGTTTCCCCAGTGTAAGTGGTCTGAGGACCGTATTTAGAAAATATGTATGGTACAAAAACACAAGACTTCATGTATCTGGAAAGGTCGCAGCATGTGGTCCCAACATGCCTTGCAGCATAATCAGCATGTCTAAAACAATTGTATAATGAATAGTACTTTATAATTCACATGTATCTATAGAACATCAGGAACACTCTCGATCTAGCTCTTTTCACAGAATTCGTAGCCCAACATGGGCTTACTTCTCAATACAGAGAATTGAGTCCTTTCAGAAAAGATTTGGAATTCTCACTATGTATAATGCCTCGGAGCAGCTGTTTCCAGAGTGTTCTTTTCCCTGTGTTCCGGCAGCAGGCCGATGTGTTTTGCTTTTTTAACCCAGCCACAGTGTCAGGGAGGCTAGGGGTACAGATGAAACTCCCTGGCGCCTGATCCCAGGCCTTTTTGCCCTTTTGTTCCTGGTTGGGCGAGCTGCAGCAGGGCTTGTGGATGGATGTTCATCCTCCTGGGGCTTAGCTCAGCTGGCCACATGCCCGCAGCACAAACCCAGTATTGTCAGGCCTCTTGGTGAAATGCTGGAGTGAGTTAAAATCCCTCAGGGCTATTGCTCAGGTATTTCTCCCTGAGCAAGATGATATTACAAGCTGGATTTAAAAAAAAAAAAAAATAGAAGCACAGTTTGCTGCCCCGACCAGAGATCTTGGCATCTGCATTTTTCCTGGAAGAGTAGAGGACTGACATGGAATTTCTTGAGTCAGTGTCTGGGAGAGTTGGTTCCTTCACGGTGCTGAGGCCTGCTAGGGTCACCAGGCTTCAAAGCAGTGCTGAATATCCCAGCTGGCCTCAGGGTTGCCCGGCAACAGGTGCCACCTGCCTTTCACGGGAGGGGGCAAGTGGAGGGGGGGCGGCTCTCTGCCTGGCCTGCCCTGGGGTGGCTTGGTGTTCTGGGAGGGGGTAGCTGGCACAAGCACACTGTGCGCCTCGTGCTGGCCTCCTTGCCACTGAGTGTCAATCCAGCCTGCCGGCCCACCATCTGCTTCAGGGAGGCCTGGGCTGGGGACGGGTTGGGAGGGGGTGGGGGACATTTTCTGCTTGGCAGCTTGCAGTTGAGCCTAAAAATGACATTGGTGTTTTTGGCAGTCTGATGGCAGAAGACAACACTGGAAATGAATCCGAGGAACGGAACCAGATTTTTAGAATTATTTTGAGTGTCCAAGTGTATGTGGCGCTTTAAAAGCTAAACCCCAGATTTGGGTAAATGCAGATGTTTTGTTAAATTTAGATCTGAAGGCATGGGTTCAGCCTCCAGACAAGCATCGTTTGGCCAGGTCTGAGTTTTGAAACCTTTGAGCCAACATTTATAATTAGAGAGGTGTTTACAAGGAAGTTAAGGGAGAGTCGGAAACAGGGCAGCTTGGGCCGGCCTTCAGGGCCGAGGCCTGCTGTCTGGAGCATCTTGGCGCCTGCCCCTGGTGGCCAGGGCACAGCTCTGCTCTAGCTCGCCTGGCAGCAAGGTGGTGAAGGATCTAGGTGTTTGTGACCCTGGCTTAAGTGGCTCAGGGTTTTACACTTTGTTTGCAGAGAAAATTGGGACTAGTGGTTTCAGTGCTTTGAGTAGATAAAACAGGGCAATTGTCTTTAGGCAGCAAAAGGAATGCCTGGAAGAGAGGGAAAAAATGGGAACTGTGGAGTACTAGTTGCTGCCCCTTCCAGGGAAATTCAGATGTTCTGTTTGAGCTTTTCTCCTCCTGCAAGGTGACACTTTTTAAGGTTCCTGTAGCTTTAAGAACACAACAGAGAGCAGGCCCAGTTGCTCCTAGGCCAATGGGGACCCACACTCAGGTGGCTGGTGCCCGAGCCTGCCAGCCAGTGTCCACAACCCAGAGGGCCTGTGTGCTTGGCAGTGTAGCTGAGCCTTCCGGACTGGCCAGATGTTTTATGAGTCTACAGCTAGGGCTGCCTGTGGAGAGCCCCCTCTTTGCCACATGGTGGAGGCTGTGATCTGAAACCAGAGTGTGGACCTCTTGGAGCCCCTGCCTCCTGCTGGGGCAGAGCAGTCCACAGATGTCTATAGTATGCTTCTGGGGACGATTGTGGGAGGTTCTCACCATGACCTTGTTCTGTCTTGATTGCTATAGTTTTGAAATCAAGGAAAGGGCTCCGATGGAGAGGGAGCTTGTGGAGGACGCTGCTCTCTGCTCCAGTGGTGCAGAGACTTCCAGTAAGACAGTTTGCCTCTCCAACTGAGAGTGAGACTGAAGCCAAATTGCCCTTGGCTTTTAGTCCAGGGGCCTGCATCTTTGGAATTCCTTTGAGGCAGGTGTTGTGCCCACCTGCCCCATGCCTGTGTGCCTGGCAATGGGACTGGGTTATTTGCCATCCTTTCATGCAAGAAATGGCTACGCTGTCCTGGTAGATCCAGGACTGGCCATATGTTCTCTGTGTTTGGGCCCATCCCATGTCCTGTCATGAATCCTGGTCTGGGACCTCGGCTCTAGCTCTGAGTTTTGTTGCTTAAATGGAGACCCCCTAACTCTGACCACTCGGAGTTCTCACCAAATGAATCTGCACAGCCCATGCATCTGAGACACAGGTGTCTAGACAGAAAAGTAGTTTTGATTTTAGTTGCAGGAGCAGGTTTCCACAATTTCTGTCTCAAACTCTCACACACACTGAACTCCTCGGCCCCTGTAATCTGGCTTGGCCCCCACTGTCCCACTGATTTGGGGTTTCCCCAGGACTTCCAGTAGCTTCCTAGCAGGAAAACCCAGTGGATGTTTTCCAGTGGCACTTGGTTCTATTAAAGAATATTCTTACAACATCTACTCTCTTGGCTTCTGGAACTCTCACTTTAGGCTTCCTCTGCTTCTGTGACTGGCTCCCAGCTACCTCCACAGGAAACTTTCCCTACCCACCTTCCTGCTCCCTTAAATATTCGGGCTGGTGTCCCCTTCACCTGCAGCCCTGGTCTTACTGTGCTTTTCACTTCTTTTATTTTTAGTCCGGGCTCCTAAGTTCCATGGACAGAAACCTTCTCAGACTAGCTTAGGCAAAAATGCTGACTGAGCCTAAGACCACGGGAGGAACTCGTGGGTTCTGGGTTAGAGACTACACTGTGTCTCCTGGGGTGTGGGCCAAGGGGGAGTCAGAAGGAAGCTGGGATGTATGTGGGACTCGATCCCAGGACCCCGGGATCACCACCTGAGCCAAAGGTAGATAGATACTCAACCACTGAGCACCCAGGTGCCCCTAGTTTACACACTTAATGAACTTCTTCTCCATGTCCCAAGGGCTTGACAAAGATGCATTACTGTCAACTCAGTGATTCCACTTCTAGGAACCAAATATGAGAGGGGCATTAAGGTTTGAGTTTGTGAATGCTTATCATACTCATTTATTAAGGGTGCAGTTAGAAACACTTTGAGTGGTCAATGAGAAGATCCTAGATCCCAAAGTTTTTTCTCCTATGTTTTTTTCCCCAGTTTACCTTTTCTGTTTAGGCTTGAGGTTCATTTTGAGATGATTTTTGGTAATGTATAAGGTTTATCTTATTTGGTGCCTCTCCTCTGACATGGCTCATCCTGACAATGCCTCACTGTGTCCTTGCCTTCAGATCTCTACATATACGCCGTGCTCGTGTGCTGTGTTGGGATTCTCAGTGTCCTCCTCTTCACCCTGACCATCATCTGGCAGTCTGTGTTTAGCAAGAGGAAATCCAGAGGTAAGAGAACCGATAAGGTCATGTCTGGAATGGAAGCCCAACCAAACCACAGACAGGCAGGAGATGCTGGACAAAGTATAATCTTGTTTGAAAAATGCATCATGAGTCAGGGATTATTTCCCTGTGACTGGTGAGTACAGAGAGTGAGGAGATGTGTCTCCCTTGGACTCAGCTAAAATCAGCTGCAATGACACTTAAATTCTTTTTCTCAAATCCCTTTCTTCCTCGGTTTCTGAGGGGGTGGCCCCTACCTCTCTCATTTGCCCCGAAGGGGCTATGGAGTCAGATGAACCTGGATTTGATTCTGGCTCTGCTGCAGAAGACATGTTTAGACATGTTTCTTAACCACCCCGAGCTTCAGTTTCCTCATCCATGAAATGAAATGGGGTGGGCCGTGTCTTCCTCAGGTTGCATGCTGTTGTGAGGGTCCTGACCTAATTGCTGGACAGGGGTGTATTGGTGCGGTGCCTGGCAGGCAGGTGTGGTTAGGATGGCCCCTCCCAGCCTAAGCAGTCACTTCCTTCTGCTTTCCCATCGGCGTGCCTGTTTCCCTCGATCTGTCCTCAGCCCCTTCTTGCTCTTCTTTTTCTCTCATAATGATTACAGTTCTGGGGACTCTGACTCTTACCTCCCTATGCAGGCTGCCAGCATTCCCTCTCCAGCCTCCACCTCTCACCAAGCCTCAGTGTCTCCTTTCAGCCAGAGCCTGTGCATTTCCTCTGAAATATCCTCCCTTCACTCCTTTCTGAATTCCCAAAGCTGGTACGGATGGTATAGCTCCCCAAGATGACATGGGTGACAGCTGGGTGCTGCTTCAGATGGCTCCTCTTTACTTACCAGCTGGTGACTTACCTGCTGTGCCTCACTCTTGCCATCTGAGTAATGGGAAAGCAGTAGTGTGCCAGTCTCATGGGATTATTGAGAGGGTAAAGTTCAACAATGACACAAACGATGAAACACATTGTGAGTCTTGTAAGTGTCCTGTGTGTGTAATGACGTGTGATTATAGTGATGCCTCATCCTAAGGTTACAACACTGAGAAGTGTTAGATTTGGTCGTCATGGTGCAAGGGAACACTAGACAGGGGAATGGAGCAGGGCTTCCAGAGGGCCTCTCCACCAAGATGCTAAGGCAAGGCTAAGGGGGACCCAGGAAGGAGGGAGGGGGTGCACTCAGGGACCAACCTGCATCTGTTGCCATTGCAGAGGTAGGAGACAAGGGCAGGAGAGGCTCCTGAAACTTTCGGGAGCTGCCACTATGGGAGAAGTGTCACCAACGGGAGCCTTAGAAGAGGGACCCAGGCAGCGTGAAATCCGGAGGCAGGGGGACGGAGCCAGGAGCATTCATTTCTCAGTCCTTCCTTCTCCCCCTTCCTCTGGATGCCCTGCTGCTGCCTTGCTTTGCTCTCACCAACCAGGAGCCAGAGGGCAGGGCATGGAGGTCAGCCTCCAGACTAGTCAAGGTAGAAAAGGGTTGACAGAGCTTCAGAAAGGGGCACAGAGATGCCCACCACACCCAGTGCTGGAGACAGAGCAAGGCCTGTGGCCAGATCTTTCTCCTCTCTGGCCTGTACCCTTCCCACTGTGCTATGTGTGGGCTCCGTGCTGTGCCAGAGAGCTTTCCTCCTTAGCATCCGCTTACCTTGTCAAGAGTGCCCAAACTTTTCTCCTGTTCCAAACCCTTGCCTATGCCTGTGAACTTGGGGCATGTGTTTCATGTGGCCAGATGTATTTGCCTCCCTTCAAGAGAATAGTGCAGAAGGCACAAGCCAGCCATCTGACCCATCCTCCTTGGAATTTTGCTTATGACAGCTGCTCAACAAATGGGGGAAAATGTGTTTGTTTCTCAGCTGCTTTGTTCCCAACTGTTGGAGTTTGGAAGCCACACAGGCAGTCTCCAAGCCTGTTTTGCTCCTCTGCCTGAGTTCAGGGGCATGATAGAGAAGTGTGCCTTGAGCTGCAGGCTCTGTTAGTTCTTAGGCAGGATCAGGGAAATAAAGCAGGGTAATTAGTTGAGGAGACATCCATCTCCTCCAGAGCCAAGGAGGAGACACACACTGCAGGCCTCACACAGAGCCACTGAGAACCCCCGGATAGCCTCACGTGCACCTACACACAGTGCCATGAAGCCCTACTGAGCTTTCAGGAGCTTTGCCTGGGCACCTCCTGCAGGCCACACTGCTCACTGGCTCCTCCACGTTCCGGCATAATCCTCACCACCAGTCTGGAGTGACAGTCCCTGTTGCTCCCCTCTGCGACAGAACACAGCTGAGGAGCTTGATAAAGTCCTGAAACAGGGGTGTGGCCGAGCCCCAGCCAGCCAGATTCGGAGGGAATTTCTATTCAGGGAAACTGTCTCCATCTGGGGGCCAACCTTGCCAAAGAATTTTCCATCAGTCTTCGGTGGTGGTTGCTGCCAAGTTCCTTTCCAAACAGGAATCAGAGCCCCTGCAGTCCCTAGGGAGCTTGGCTGTACACCAGCAGGCTGGCCTTCTGTAGCCCTGGCAGGGCAGTCCTGCCCCTTGTGGCCCTAGGAGCCAGGTGCCTCCCAGCCACACCCGAGGGCCAAGGATCACAGGGCAAAGGTCAGGGGACTGTGCGTGGCTGGCCCTGGAGCCTTAGAGCAGCACTGCCCAAACTAAGCAGTGGGTTGTTGCCTAGGAGCCCTGCTCAAATGAAGATTCTGATCCAGTACTTCTGACGAGATCACCGGTGGGGCCGCCAGGGCTGGCCTGAGGTCATGCTTTGATAGCAAAGTTTTAAAACCAGTTGTTCTTAACTCTTCTACTCTGTACTCCTCTTTTATAACAAATATTTTGAAAGGATCCCATTGCTGTCTTGAAGTGAAACTCAGGGATGAGATATGCTTCCTGTACCCACAAAAATGAAATCAGGCCCCGCCCCCATGTTACATGGGCATTTCCTGGGTTTTCTGTGTAACTGGATGTGGGGGGCCTTCTGTACCCTGGCCACATGGAGGAAAGCCCAGCTTTCTTGCCTAGGTAAGAATCACAGAGCCTTCAAGTCTACAGGCTGCTCACATACACAAGGAAAGTGGAGGTGAGCCCAGTACCTGCTCTCCTGCTCTTTCGGCAAGATCTATCTTCAGAGGCCATCAGAGCTGCTGTCCCCACTCCCAGTAGGATCCCCTGAAGGGCTAGTGTCCTTCTCTGTCAGTATTCCAGGCCTAGTGGCCTTGTGCTGCTTCATTTTCCTGGGGTGTTCCTCCTTCCTGTGAGCTGCAGTTAATTGCACCTGTGTGTTACGTGCTCTCCACTTTCTTCCTAAGCTGTGAATCTTCATGCTGGCTGTTAGTGCCAGGCTGCCTGGAACTTTGTCCCAGGGCCTCTGTGGCTCTGAGTCACCCCAGAAAATAGCAGTCCTGGTGGCCTTGGACCAAGCCTTGAGTTGTTCCAGTGGCTCCTCTAGTTGTTCCAGTGGCCTTTACTTGTTGAGGAGAGTCCAGACCCACAGATTTGAGGTGCCAGCACTCCCCAGCCTTCCCTGTCTCAGCTCTTAAAAGGGCAGTTTTAAAGGCACTCTAGAACCAGATGGAAGGAGAGGGGCTTAACCCCTTTGTCTTTACTCTCTGTGTTTGTGATGTCTTGGTCTCACGTCCACGTAGTATGCTAGAACTCATGCGCTAGAGCCAGGGCTTCCTCGAGCTTGCTAGACACCCATGTTCCCCTGAAGCAAGCTTATTCTCCCTGGCTTCCCCATGGTGATGGGACCAAAGAGCTGTGATCTTCACTCCTAGAGGTACAAGGAAGGGGGTGTGTGATGCATCCTTGTCACAGCCACACTCAGTGCGGGAGGAGGCTCAAAGCATGGAGTGGGGTGGTTGTGGATGAGGAGCAGAGGGGTGACCCCAGGGCCTTGGGGAAGTTGAAAGGCTCACCTTCCTGATTTCACAGATGCTTGGACAATCTGAGGCATGAGCTCTCCGCTCCAGACACTTCCAAGGCACAGATTTGGTCTTCCGAGCAGGTGGAAAGGCTTGGCTGGCTCTCATGGGCCCCTGCTGCCTTGGGAAGGGAGCCCATACTCCCCATGTAGGTGTTTATAAGCCTCTCCAGGAGCATAGCACAGACAGCATGGATACAGAACCTAGAGTCAAGCTCCTTTACCTACAGAGTGGGTCTTCTCAGGCCCCGAGTAAATGTCCTGAGTCCCCAAGTATCCTCACTGTAAAAAAGGGATAAGAGTTTCTCTTACTTGTACGCCTGCGGGGAATGCTTTTCCCATTGTGGCGTGGGTACCAGTCCTTGGTGTGGACAGTTCCAGGGAGCACCTTCTCCTGGGTGCAGCTCACTTTCCTAACCACATCCTTGCATCATAGTCATGGTGACTGGGATCAACCATGTGAGGGCAAGCAGAGCCCCTCTGCACACTGTCCTCAGTAGAAATAATACAAGCCCCATATGTAATTGGACTATTTTTTTAGTAGTCACATTAACGAGGTAAAAAGGTAAAACAAACAAAACATATTTTGTTTAACTCAACATATCTAAAATAGCATTTCAACATGTATCAATGTAAAGATTCAGAATGAGATATTTTACATTCCTTTTTTTATACTAATCCATCATGATTTCATACTTCCAGCACCTCTCATTTTTGAGTGCCAAATAGCCACCTAGGGCCCATGTCTACCATCTAGGACGAGTCTCTAGACACACAACCTTATGTGCTGGTGCTTTCCATCAGTGCTTTTCATGTGGCCATGAAATGGCTCTCTGTAGCAAGAGAACTGGTGATAGAAAACCTCATTCTCTTTTTCAGCTTCCTACTTGGTGACCGAGAGAAATGACTTTACCTGTCCTTGTAACTGTGCCAGCCTGGAAACGCTGTCAAGGCAAGGCTGCTTCCTGGAGAGGGCTGGGGTTTTGGATATGACATGATGGGAGCATAGTTCTGTGTAAAGGGAGGGGCTGGCAGGAAGTGGGGCACCCCTGCTCTTGTCTCCCCCCCCCAGCGAAATGCAGGTGGTCTTTTCTAGGCTGCCTGGCTCTCTGCCGGTGCTGGGGTAAAGGGAGGCTGGGAGAGCACTGTGCCCAGTCCTTCTGGCTCCTGCAAATGTACAGGACCTTTTGCAGGGGCTGTTACAGTGTTCACACCGTGTGGGGGATGCTTGGGGAACAGAGCAAAGAGCAAAAATATCCATGGGTCCTATCTCAGGGTCTCTGTGAGGCCTGGAGGTCTGGAGAGGGTGAAGGCAAATTGGAGAAAAGAGGGGGATGGTCAGCCATATCTTGAGGCCCCTTGGCTACTGATACAGGGCTTGACACGAGTGAGGAGCATGGCTACCTCCACTTCAGATCACCTGCCTGGAGGTGGTAGTGAAACAGAGACAGGCTCAGATGGGGATGATGCAGACTCCAGCCTGGACAGGTCATGTGGGAGATTTGGCCGTGAGGTGAGGGCTAAGAGCAGTGTGGCTCCAGCTGAGGAGGCAGAGAAAGGGTAGCCCCAGGGCCTGCTGCTCACAGACATCATTCTGCCACGAGGTGAGAAAAACAGTACTTTCTTTTACTCTTTAAAGTCTAAAGATCGCAAGATCACCATTGAAAAAGAATTGTGTCCTGAGTTTTCTTTTCTGTGCAGTATGATTGCCTTGTGCGGAGCCAAGAGCCTCTGGGTCAGGTGTGCTGGGTGTGAGGCCAGGGCCCATGATGGAGACAGGCTCCAGGATCACCCTTTATTGGCTTCTTTCTTTTCCTGGTCTCACTTGCCCACTCTAGTGGGTTTGCTGGGATCACTTCCCACATAGACTCTTTGTACCCAAACGCTTATCTTACAGGCTCTGTTTCCAGGCCAGCTCTAGCTATGTAGTCAGCACTGATTATGTTCTGTGTATTTAAGGGTGACTCTGGGCCACGTCTATTTCTCAGATGCCCATAAGTCTTAATGTTTGGTGTTCAGGATTACTTTTGGTTCCCTGGGCAGTCATCTTCATTAAAGAGACTTCAGCCCTGCATTTACTGGTCTGGGACCTTGTAAACATTGGTCAGCAAGTGCTGCCAGAGGTGCGTATTTTGGCCTGGCGCTTTCTGAGTCAGCCCCCTCCCCTACAGCCAACTATTACGAGTCCCCCTGGGCTGCCCTCTTGCTCCCCGACTTCCTCAACTCCAGGCTGCTCACCTCAGCGCCCCTGGACTGGATTTCCCAAAATACCCATTCCCGTGGGTTCCCTAGGGCCCCAGCCCCAGCTCTGCCCTGCTCCAGCTGTGGCACAGTGGGCCAGCCATTTCTCCTGAGACTCACTTTCTTCATCTATAGGAGCTCTAATGCCAGTCGCCCAGTTTCTCTGAGAGTGGTGAGGTACTAGTAGTTACAAGAGGGCTCTGGAGTCAGGTTGCCCAGTTTGCCCCTTCCTGGGTGTGTTAGTTTGCTTGGGCTGCCATAGTAAAGTTAGAGGTGGCCCTCTTCTCCCTGTGTCTTCATGTGGCCTTTCCTCTGCACTTGTCTGTTTCCTCATTTCTTCTTATAACGACATTAGTCATGTTGGATTAGGGCCCACCCCACTAATCTTATTTTAACTTAATCTTCTGCTTAAAATCCTTATCTCCAAATACAGTCACCTTCTGAAGTATTAAATTTTAGGGTTTCAACATGGGAGGGACACAGCTCAGTCCATAGCACCAGCTGTATGACCTTGGGCAAGGGCTCTCTATGCTTCAGGGCTCTCTCCACTGTAGAATTAGGTGCAATGACAAGGTTTTTGTGAAGATCAAATTCAAGTGCAAAGTTGTGGACTTCAAATATTTTTGATTGCATAGCATCTAAAAGTGTTTCAAAAACTATGCACCCTTGAACATTTTTTTGTCGATATTTAAACTTTTTCATCATAAATGTAAATTGTTGGAAAGGAGGTAATTTCCAGGGCATCACAAATATTGACATCTTAAAATGAAAGAGTTAAATCTCTTTTACATCTAAATGTCATGATTTAATAACTACCTCCCTTTGTTTAAAAAGACTCCATGAACATGCTTTAGCTATTAGAAATTATATATTGTTCCTTTTTCTCCTTGAACTTTTATCTTCAATCCACTTACCCCACAATTATCCCACTTTAATAGTTTTTTTGTTTATACTTCTCTGTAAACATGTGTATAAAAATTTAAATTAAAAATTTTTAAATTTCCTTATTCCAGAAGTTTTATTAATTTTTTGTATAGAATTAGCAATATTGCATAATTAATAAATTTGGAAGATGACTATAAAATTATCAAAACCTCATAGATATTATCAATTTAGATAATTAATAATCTTAACATTTTGAAACATTTTTATTAACTCTTTTATTTTTTTTATTAACTCTTTTAGTAAACATGTTTTTATTAAGCATATTTTTATATTTTAATAAACACATTATTTATTTTTTATTCTTTATTTTTTATTTTTTTTAATAAACACATTTTTAAAAGATTTATTTATTCATGAGAGACGCAGAGAGAGGCAGAGACACAGGCAGAGGGAGAAGCAGGCTCCTCGTAGGAAGCCTGATGTGGGACTCAATCCCGGATCCTGGGATCACACCCTGAGCCGAAGGCAGACACTCAACTGCTGAGCCACCCAGGTGTCCCTAATAAACACATATTTAAATAAATAAATTTTTATTTTACTTCATATACCCTTGCATGAATTTGCTTAATAATAGAATTCAGCATCATTTCTATTTCTATTTTTTAAAGTTTAGATTGATGCTGAATTCTATTACTAAGCAAATTCACGCAAGGGCATATGATTTATCATTGAAAATGGTTTTTAATACTCTCCCAGCTGGCAACTGGATTAGGTCATTATTTATCCTTGTTGAAAGCAAAATATTAGAAACCTCTCTGCTGGTGAAAGGTTTAGTTGTCCAGTCATTAGTCATTCGTTTTCTCATTTCAAATAATTTCTTATTTGGTGCCTACTGTTTTTTACCTCCATAGTACAAGTCAGGATGTGCAACAGGGGTGCCTCAATTTTGTAAAGAGAAACTATGATGTGATGGGGAGGGAGGGAAAGGAATACAGAGCTCAGGCATGTTCTGGAGAATGAATTCTGATGAAAGAACAGCATGCTAGGTGAGGATCTAGAAATTGATTTCCTTAAAACGGCCCTTCCTAGGAGAGCCCAGTGGTTTGCAAACCCCAAACAAATGATCACTGATTTATTTAATAAGTGTAGAGTAAGGCCAGAAACATAAATACTAGCTATGGTTTTTATTATTGCTGCATCTGTAAATTATCCACCACAGAATAGTACACAGGATGCACAAAGAGCTTATGTGGTAATAAGGGGTCATAACAGGTAAATTGAAAATGCCCTCTCTAAATCTGAGCTTCTGTCATGCTGGTCTGGAACCTGCCCCGGTCACCTGCAGGCAGATCAGTCTTAATATAGTAGCTTAAAACAACAACGATTTTATTTGCAACTAGAATCTCCCCCCCCCCCCCCCCCCAATGAGACCTACTGTGGAGGATGTCTTGTTCTAAGACTGTTTTTCCAAGGTCTCCCCTGGAAGAGCATTGATCAGAGAACAAAAAAACCCCACATTATGGAGAGGAGCATCTAAGTGGAAACAGGTTGCCCCAAAAGGCTTTCTCATGACTGAGGCAGAGCTTTGAAGTTGAGTGACTCTGTTACTCCAGGACCTTTCAAGTTAGAACTCACCTCAACCTGGCTTGGAAAAAAAAGTGATTGTTTTGGGTTATCAAACTAGGAGGGTCTGGGGTGTATGATTTCATGCTGGACTCAATCAAGGTGTGGAACAGTATCAAGTCACTGTGGTGTCCATGCCATGGCTCTGCTCTACTAATCCAAAGAGAAGTATGAAAACCCCAAGTGGTGGCTTGTACCAACATGTGGGTGACATCTGGGCACCTACATTTCCTGGTGATTCCTGGAAACATATATATTTAAAGTAACATTTACCATTTTCTATTTCTTTTCTTCCCCCCCCCCCCCACTTTTTTTTTTCACAGCAAGACATTATTTGGTGAAATGTCCTCAGAACAGGTAAGAATATTTTCTTTTTTTTAAATGAAACTCTTTGATATTTTACTTTATTTATTTTTTTTTTGATATTTTACTTTATACTGAAATTACCAACAAATTGGCTAAATTTGTTGTATCTTTACCTAAAGGTCTGCATGTTAGTCTGCAGATTGGCCTAAAAATGTGTGTTCTTCATGCACTTGCATGTTGCTAGATTCCCTGCTCTGGTTTTCACCTTCAGAGAATCCAGAGAAAATATGCTTCAGGCTGGTTCAAAATGCATGCTGGAGGAGGCCTGACTCCTGCTCCTGGAGGGCTATTTCCCCTGTTTAGGAAGAGGCTAGCAGCTGGACTGAACCACTCTGATACCTTTTGACCACAAAGCCTCCTAATTCCCTTCCACCAGTGTCTGCCTATCCTTTGCCCCAATCTGAAGAATGTGGCCATTAGAAATATATGTGCTAAGAGGTTAGCCTTCTAACTGGTGGTACACCTCACAGATAACATGACAGTTATAGTAGATATTGCAAACTCAGTGTTTAGAAATTTGAGACTTTGGTCCAGACACAATAGAATAGGTCAGTTTCTCCCTGCTCTTCCCTGCTAAGCACACCATAAACCCTGAAAATAATATCAGAGACAATTAAAGAAAGGTGGTAAGAAGAACATGATGAAATCCAAAGACAGAAAAACATCTTATAAGCAACCAGAGAGAAATGATGCATTATCTATGGGGAACACAAATTTGAATGACAGTATATTTTTGTTTGAATCAATGGAAGGCAGAAAGAAGTGGCACATTTTCTTTTTAAGAAATTCTATCTATCATCTGTCTATCTCTCTCTCTATCTATATCTATCTATCTATATTTATGTATTTGAGAGAGAGATTGAGAGAACACTCGAGAGTGTGAGCAGGGGGAAGGGCAGAGAGAGGGAGAGAGAGAGAGAGAGAGTCTCTCTCCCAGCTAAGCAAGGAGCCTGACTCAAGGCTTAATCTCATGACCTTGAAATCATAACCTGAGCTGAAATTGAGAGTTGGACATTTAAGTGACTGAGCCACCCATACCCCAAGAGGTGGCACATTTCAAATATTGAAAGCAAAAAACTGTCAAGTACAAACTCTATATCCAGCAAAATTGTCCTTTAGGAATAAAGGGAAAATAAAGACATTCCCAGAGGAAGGGAAACTTAAAGAATTTCTATCAGGCCTACTTTAAAGAAAGGCTAAAATAAATTCTTGAAATAGAAGAAAAAGACTCGGTACATTAGGAAGGAAGAAGGGACAGTAGAGCAGAAATATTGTTATCTAAGTAAGCTGTTCTTTTCCTCATGAGTCTTAAAAATAATATTTTATAATTGAAATAAAAATTATAAAACCATGTGATACTCAAGAAAAGCATTATGAAATTTAAAAGTGGGAGAGGAAAAGTTACCTAAATAGAAGTGAGATTTTTACACTTCACTCAAAGAGATAGAAATTTGATAAGTTACACATGTATATTATAATGCTCAAAGTGACCATTAAAGTGACTGAAAAAATTGAACTCAAAAACAGTATGGAAAAATAATGATAGAATCCTAAAATATGTTCAAGTAACATAAAGGAACAGAGGAATGAAAACCATGGGAAATAAATAGAAAACAGATAATAAAATGAAAGACTTAATTGCTAACATATTGTTTATCTTAAATCTAAATAGTTTAAATAATCACTCAAATGGTAGAAATTGATAGAATGAACTTTTATAAAAACACAACCCACCAATATGCTCTTTACAAGAAACTCACTTCAAACACAGTGACTTAGGTAGGTTGAAATAAAAGGAAGGTGGGCAGCCCGGGTGGCTCAGCAGTTTAGCACTGCCGTTAGCCCAGGAACTGATCCTGGGGACCCAGGATCAAGTCCCATGTCAGGCTCCCTCATGGAGCCTGCTTCTCCCTCTGCCTGTGTCTCTGCCTCTCTTTCTCTCTCTCTCTCTCTCTGAATAAATGAATGAATGAGTAAATAAATAAATAAATAAATAAATAAAATCTTAAAAAAGAAAAAGAAATAAAAGGATGGAAAAAGTTAGGCAGCTTAAACTATACCAATACAAATCCGGAGTGGATATACCAGTAATATGATGAAACAGATGTCAGAGCAGAGAAACTTATTACAAACAAAGAGATACATTAGATAATGATTAGAGGATCAATCCACCAGGAAGACAAAGATCCTAAATGTATACACACCAAATAGCAGAACCACAAAGTACATAAAGCAAAACCTGAAACAGCTGAAAGAAGAAATGGATAAATCTACCATTATCATTGGCAGTTACTGCACCCCTCTTGGCAACTGATAGACCTTCTAGACAGAAATTATCAAGGCTATTAAAGATCTAAGCACCACACTCAACTGACAGTACCAAATTGATACATATCAGACACAGACCAGCATCAGAAGAACACTTGTATTTCCAGCCCCTTGCAGAACATTCACCATAAGATACAGCTTATTTTAAACTAAATCTTGGTCTTTAAAACAAACCTCAACAAATTTAAAGCAATGGAAATCATATAAACATGTGGAAACTAAACAATACACTTTAAAAATAATCCATGGATTAGAGAGGAAGTCTCAAAGGCAATAAAAAAATAGAGAATTGAGCAAAAATGAGAATAAACAAAACATGCGGGATGCATCTAAAGCAGTGCTGATGGGGAGAGATACGGCATTAAATGCTTACATTAGAAATTAGGAAAGCCCTCAAGTCAACAATCTGAAGTCTCACCTCAGTAAATTAGGAAAAGAACAAAATAAACCCAAAGCACACAGGGGGAACAAAATGATAAAGACCAAAGCAGAAACTGATGAAATTTAAAATAGCAAAACAATAGAGAAAAATCAATGAATCAATATCTGGTTCTTAGGAGATTGCTGGGAGAAAATGGGTAGAGTCTACCCAGGATCTCTACTTAAAATCTTATGACTGTGTGTGAATCTACAATTATCTTCATAAAAACTTAAGTTAAATGTGAATTTGGATGTCTCTGGGGGATTCTGTTTACGGCCCCAACAGTTCCTATACCTGACTATTTTGTGTTACTGCTGCAGAGTTTGGGATCCAGAGAAACCCTGTTGTTAAAATCAAAATGCAGATTTATATTATGAGGGTTTACTGTCTACTAAGAGTAGACCAACAATGAGGAAAAGAGCCATAAATCCCTGCTTTGTGGAAGTTACCAGGCAGTGAGTGCAAATGCATGTGTCCCTGGAGAGATGTCTCCCAGGTTGGTGAACTTTCTTCAGAGCAGGGAGTGCTATGAGAACTACCAGATGCACTGTTGTGATAGAAGGGGCCTCATGTGACTTGGAGTAGTGTGGAGTGCTCATGTTCAGCAGCCATGTCAGTGGAGGTGACCGTTTTTTTGTTTTTTTTTTTAAGATTTTTTTTGTATATTTCTTTAATTGGATTTCGATTTGCCAACATATAACATAACACCCAGTGTTTTCCCAACAAGTGCCCCCCTCAATACCCAACACCCAGTCACCCCATCCTCCCGCCAACCTCCCTTTCCACTACCCCTGGTTTGTTTCCCAGAGTTAGTAGTCTCTGATGTTCTGTCTCCCTCACTGATATTCCCACTCATTTTCTCTCCTTTCCCCTTTAATCCTTTCACTATTTCTTATATTCCCCATATGAGTGAAACCATACAATGTTTGTCCTTCTCTGATTGACTTACTTCACTCAACATAATACCCTCCAGTTCCATCCACATGGAAGCAAATGGTGGGTATCCATTGTTTCTAATAGCTGAGTGGTAAGTATTCCATTGTATACATAAACCACAGCTTCTTTATCCATTCATCTTTCGATGGACACTGAGGCTCCTTCCACAGTTTGGCTATTGTGGACATTGCTGCTAGAAACATTGGGGTGCAGGTGTCTTAGCTTTTCACTGCATCTGTATCTTTGGGGTAAATCCCCAGTAGTGCAGTTGCTGGGTCGTAGGGCAGGTCTATTTTTAACTCTGAGGAACCTCCACACGGTTTTCCAGAGGGGCTGCACCACCAACAGTGCAGGAGGGTTCCCCTTTCTCCGCATCCTCTCCAACATTTGTTGTTTCCTGCCTTGTTAATTTTCCCCATTCTCACTGGTGTGAGGTGGTATCTCATTGTGGCTTTGATTTTTTTTTTTGAATAAATTAATTTTTTATTGGTGTTCAATTTACCAACATACAGAATAACACCCAGTGCTCATCCCGTCAACTGTCCCCCTCAGTGCCCGTCACCCATTCACCCCCACCCCCCGCCCTCCTCCCCTTCCACCACCCCTAGTTCGTTTCCCAGAGTTAGGAGTCTTCATGTTCTGTCTCCCTTTCTGATATTTCCCACTCATTTCTTCTCCCTTCCCTTATATTCCCTTTCACTATTATTCATATTCCCCAAATGAATGAGAACATACACTGTTTGTCCTTCTCCGATTGACTTACTTCACTCAGCATAGTACCCTCCAGTTCCATCCACGTTGAAGCAAATGGTGGGTATTTGTCGTTTCTAATGGCTGAGGAATATTCCGTTGTATACATAAACCACATCTTCTTTATCCATTCATCTTTCGATGGACACCGAGGCTCCTTCCACAGTTTGGCTATTGTGGACATTGCTGCTAGAAACATCGGGGTGCAGGTGTTCCGGCATTTCATTGCATCTGAATCTTTGGGGTAAATCCCAACAGTGCAATTGCTGGGTCGTAGGGCAGGTCTATTTTTAACTCTTTGAGGAACCTCCTGCAGTTTTCCAGAGTGGCTGCACCAGTTCACATTCCCACCAACAGTGTAAGAGGGTTCCCTTTCTCCGCATCCTCTCCAACATTTGTGGTTTCCTGCCTTGTTAATTTTCCCCATTCCCACTGGTGTGAGGTGGTATCTCATTGTGGTTTTGATTTGTATTTCCCTGATGGCAAGTGATGCAGAGCATTTTCTCATGTGCATGTTGGCCATGTCTATGTCTTCCTCTGTGAGATTTCTCTTCAT